GGCGGGACGAAGCCTCGTGGGGAGAGGGGGGGTTGAGGTGGGTAAATATCGGAAATAACCCATCGCTCCGGGATGCTCCAGCCCTGACGCGATGGTACGCGCCTTCCTGCAGGCTCGCAGGGAGGTGAGGCGGGGCTCGCCCTTGTGAGAGTCCAACGTGTTCTGGGAAAACATTTCTACAAGTTTTTGCCCCGTGGCAGAACTTTGTATTTTCGTTGTTTTCAGAATAAGGGGCGAGGCAACAACCACAGACTTCCAGCAATCACCTGGAAAGAGTTAGCCTGAGAGACTGAAGAAATGGTTCTTTATAATACAGACCTTCTCCCTTCTATATTCACCTTCTACCTTCTCTCATCTCCTCGATTCAGAAGAAAGCACAAACAAAATCAAGTCGGGTTTTCAGAAGCTTGTAAGACAAAACCAGGCTGGGTACAAAAGCAGCTGCAGAACAACCGTACAGCGAGGGCATCCTGCACCACACTGGGTAAGCGAGCAGCCCCGCAGTTAAACTTGCCCAAGCATTTAAAAGCAGTTCAAAACTAACTAGTAATTTTTAAAGCACCTGTCCAGGAGTTGAACGACAACTTTCGTTCTTCTGAACAACCAAAATCTTGAGGCGACAGCATGCTATTGAGCCACATCCAAGTAGATTACTGTTCAGAGCAATTAAGTTGTCCGTATTCCTTTACCAGTAGGAATAGGGACAAACCAGATCATCCTCCATTTCCTGCATTCACAGTGTTGCTCAGAAAGCCCCCTGTCAGTCCTGCACAGGATCAGCCCTTTTTCCAAGTCAGAATAAACCCCCAGGTCCAAAACCGAGCTCCTGCGGTCCAGGGGCCTCTAGCAGGTCACGCATGGCAACGGGCACTTCCACCCCTCCCCTTTACGCTGCTGGGGAAGGCTTAGGTTGATGAAGATGAGGGAGAAAATGTTTCCCAAGAGCTGCATAGAGCGCTGGGGTTTGTCTGGACGCCCTGACGAGGCAGCGCGCTGGATGAGGGAGAAAATGTTTCCCAAGAGCTGCACTGGGGTTTGTCTGGACACCCTGACAAGGCAGCGCGCTGCTTGCTATCTTTTTTTTTTTTTTCTCATTCAAAAGAATTAGGAAAAGGTTAAAATGTAAAATACAGAAGTTACAGACAAGGAGCACGTTCAACCCAGGACTGGAAGTATTCCTGAGCAGTTCAAACCACCCTTGAAGGATCCTTTCCTCCGTACGTTTCTCTGCTGGTTACGGCAGGGCACCTTCCGTCAAACCAAACCGGACAGAACGTCCCTTCCCTACCACCTGGACACGAAAACTTCAGGTCCTGCAGAAAAGGGTGACCCGAGTCAATCGCCGCGAGTGCCCAACACTCGTGTCTGGCTGCCCGACTGCAGCTGGAGAGAGCTCAAAGCATTCACTAAAACCTGAGCCTCGGCAGCGTTTAAACGAGGCCTCTCTCTCCTCAACACTCAGACAGCTGAAGAGATGGAGGCCAAGGAAGTTCCACTAATAGTTCAGTTCGATTTGAAAGACACCCAGCACTGCGTTAAATCATCTCGGTGATGCTCGGGGGGAAAAGTTACTGGTCAAAGAGGCTGACGTAACGTAAAGAAAAATAACACACGAAGCCAGACACAAAAGTTTCCCAGAAAACACACCAATACTGCATTGATTTCTCTTGTAACAGAACCAACACGGCATCAAATGTACATTTTACCCTTAAATAGAACAACTTTATTCAACCAAATCCAAGATTATTCCAAAACTATTCCTTAGCATTGGCTTACAGAATTATTTTTGCTATTTTTCCTATTCAAAATCCCTTACACGTTGCTTAGAAAAAAAGCCTTAGCTTTGAAATTTTAATTTAAAAATAATTTTGCTGGAAAAGCAGTGAGAAGGCGAGAATCCCATTGTTTTAACCATCCTTTTCTATTTCTCCAACAAAACTAATGGAATAGTTAAGAAGGTACACAAATACTTTGCTCAACTTTATAAAAAGGAGAATCAAGAATTGCGATTTCCAGGGACCCCAGACAACGGTCAGACACATCCAGAGCCAGGAGTGACAGACGACGCAGTTCTAAGACACTGGTCTTCGGCCACGCTCCGATTCTACCCCGCACACTCTAAGCTGAGCACAACAATTTAAAGTTCTCTTTATTTCAGTAAAGTTGAAATAATTTTACTCTGAAGATTTTGGCTCAGGGGCCTAAAGGCTCAATCCCCCCAGCAGCACGCGAACCGGCACGCACCGTGTCGTGACACGACTGGCTGAGGAGGACGAGCGTGTCCTGTCCCTCCGGCGTGCCAGGGGCTTGCACCGGAGAACAGGCCACGATCCCAGGGCTGTATTTGGAAAGCATTGTAATCGTTGACTTGATCCAAAAGTTACGTTTCCAGCCAAAAGTCTCTTCCAAGTTGACAGGCGTTATTTGTGGATGACTTTCAAGATCCAAATAACCTAGTGGATGCAACAGAAACAAAGTAGATGAGAACCAGGTACACGCGTGAAGAGCCGCACCAGTGCCCTTCCCGCTCGCACCAGTGACGTCTGGCATCGGTTTCGCTCCCCCACATCAGACCACACAGCTGCGTGGCAGGGCAGCGGCCTGCCTGTCTGAACTAAGCCTGTTCTTTCCAGAGACTATTCTCAAAGCTGGTTCCATTCTATTACTTGGTGGGTTTTTTCCCCTCCTAAAATAAACAAACAAACAAACAAACATCCCAAAAGTTAAACTGGAATGCTGACCCAAATGGCGTTTAAGCAGCCCCCAAAAGGGCACGCTGCGTCTGAGGCTAAACGACTTGCACACTGACAGGGGAGGTTTTCCTGCACTACAGGTGCCCACACTAGCAAACACCTGTGAGGTCGACCAACATCTCTTTGAAGGTTGAAATAAGTGAAATGAAAAGGAATTATGGAACAATGGAGTGGGAGAGAAGGAGATCTGAAAAGAAATATAGGTGCAAGAAAAAGCCCAACATCGATGACCTCCTATAAACAGATGACGAGATGCTGCACAGCATTACTTACACAATCATGCAGAACATCATGAAGACGTTCCACAGCGCAATGAAGATGCGAAAATATCTGAGACTCAGCAAGAACTCTCTGATATTGTCACCTAAAAATCAAGAGAAGCAGCCCTTGATGTGAAAAATACCCGATACACCGACAAGTCCCACTTTCAACGCTGCTTGAAAAACACAAAGCAACTCTGACAGAAAAAACCCCAAAAGGTCAGATGACAAAAAACCTGAGAGTTGAAGTTTTAGGTAAATAATCCACAGTACAGCCAGTGCATCCTGTAAGGGCACATGGCAAAATAAACAGTAAGTGGCAACGAGGGGTGACACGGTCGGAAAGGGAAGGACAGCCCTCTGCTGTGGATTCCAGCCTTCCCGTGACCACCGACCAGCAGAGACTCAAGGAGCAACACAGGTGCCTACGCGCCGAGATAGCAACCAGGCGGTAGCAGAGCGTTACCTCTGTGCACAGGCACCTACGTTCAAAAACACAGAAAGAAACACGCATTTTCATATTTCTTCTCAAATCCCCAATGGGGGATCCGCAGGTAGGTTTGTCAGGCCCGTACGTACACGTCACGGCGGAAAATTTTGGGTTGCAATTTAGTAAAGCAGTTATTCCAGCCACAGAGTAATTCACACCCAAACAAAATGGGGTTAAACTCGTAGTCTGACGCCTTGAAAACGCTTTAACCACGAATTTCCTTCAGAAAACGCCCGTTCCTCAACGCATTTAGGGAGCCCCGAGCAGAGGCGCCCCAGCGGCAAGGGCTGCCTGTGCCCGGACCCCGCTCCGCGGCTCCCGGGTCCCCTCCGTTACCGGTCGTGGGTTCCCGCGACTCCTCGCCGAAGCCCTCCGTGTCTCTCTTCCTCCTGCGGGACGGCGAGAGGGGCCGTGTCAGC